CCTGTGAAGTGCTTTGAGACGTCTTGAAGATGTGATGAGGCGCTATATCAAATGCAAAGATTAATATTATTAGGTTTGACCAAACAGCATTCTAGTCCACATTAATTTGATACTAAGGGCTGTACACAAATATGAACAATCTGTGTTGCTCATAAAGCTATAGTAAATAATATGTTAATAATCCTTGCATTTTATATATTGCTGCATCGCATCAAAATATCTCAAAGTGCTTTGCAGCAGTTACTGTTAAGTGTAGTGACTGTGTATTTGGTTTGGGAATGCGTCCACCAATTTGCACACAGCAGATAAACTCCCACAAATAGCCAAGAGGTGAATGGTTACCAACTTGCTGTGTATCCTGGCTGAACAAGAAAAATCTTGTCCCAGGGAGGAATTTTATATATGACATGACTGTGGTTCGTTTAAAAATGTTTTGCAAAAACAAAGCATTGTTTCATAATAGAGTAATGTGGAAATAAAACAGAAGGGAAATAAAAACAGATTTTATTGTTCTTTTGAGTGTCAGTATGACCAGAGTTGGCCAGGGAAAAANTTGTAGTCTTTTGAATGAGATGCCAAACCGAGATGCCATCTGCCTCTTCAGAGTGAAGTTAAAGATCCCACAGAACTATTTAATAATAATAAACCTTGCATTTGGTATAGCACCTTATCACATTAGTGAGATGTCTCAAAGCGATTCCCAGAATGTACTGTAAAGTGAATTTTATTTTGTGAGCAGCCAATTGTGCACGGGAGTGTCCCACAAACAGTCGTGGAATGAACGAACAAATTATTATTTTATTTGAACCATAAACCCTATATAATCTAATACTTAAAAAGCAAAGGAAATGTCTCCCAGTGTCCTGCCCAACAATCTCCCAGATAGATTTGGTCATTCACTTCATGGCTGTCTGTAAGCGCAAAATTGTCCCATTCACCTACAAAATACACACAGGAACTACATTTTGCAGAAAATCCTGTGAGGCTCTCTGAGATGCCCTTCTGATTTGAAAGTCACTATATCAAATGCAAGGATTGCTATAGTAAAAAGATGTAAGATTGAAAAAAGAAATGAGCGCAGAGAAGTTTTTTTTGTGTACAAACATCTCCCTCTCTCGACACGATGGTGTTAGTGTTAAACAACCCAGAGCACAACATGAACTGCGAGTGAAAAACAAATAGGAAAACTAGGTGTGGCTTTAAGTAAAAGTAATCAAATCAGTGTTGTGAACAGGGCATTGACACAGATGCTTGATGTGAAATTAACTCTATCAGCCATGATACAGGCAGTCTACTGTAACACTGTTAACGTGGAATCACCCAGAAGAAGAAATCAAATTAATTTGGTCTGAAATCAAATAATCATAATAATATGCTACACTTCTTTAAAAGGAGTTAAGCGATCCTATTTGAAAGCATGAAATAGCAATTGCTCAATCCTGAATTGCAAATACAGTTGTAAACAGGTTCTAGACAATTACCAGCCAGATATCACACATTCCTTTCATGGATTCATTAATTTACTGATTGGCTGAATTTGTTTATGAGTCTATGGTTTATGGCTTGTGGTGTTTGACTATAACTCCCTCAATGTATGTAAACTAAAACATTTATAATGGGGTTAGGTCCATTTAGTGCAGTACTTAGGCTCTTTTTACCATGTTTTAGTAAACACGAGAATGGCCTAAGTGATTGAGTAAATTCCACTTATCACATAAATTAAGGTTTACTGTCTAATTTGTTTATATGTCTGTGTTACAGCTTTCTCTTTGCTGTCATTGAAGCTACGAATGATTAGTTAAATTATACTCTTGTAAGGTAAACCTCATTTGAATACATATCTTAATTCAGTATTTCAGCATTGCTAACTGCAAGTAATGCCCCACATCACAGTTCTGGCTAATTTTAATCCACATCAATAGTTTCTGACAGCATTTCGTTTTAGTGCTGATGACATTTTGCAGACCCCAAATCCCTTCCTGTTAACTTCTTCAAGGTAGGACACTCTTTTTATTATACCTTATCTTGATATTTCGGTTATTTTTCTTTTTTATAAAAAAAAGGTTTAGCCTGAGGTTACATGGTAGCGAGAGCAGCAAAAGCACTTGCTTCACAACCTGCAGGTCACAGGTTTGAGTTAAGTGAATACTAATAACTGAATCTGCTAGCCCTTATATCCCCTGAGCTACAAACTGTGATAAGCCCAATTGCTCAGATTGTACAGTCACTCTTAAGATGATGTGCATCTAAGATCTCAGTCGTGTACACCCTTACACAAGCAAAAACAACAGCATGTATATATCTAGTCCTTGTCAGCTTTATTGGTTACAGACTTGGAACTGGTCAAGTTTGCTGTGTTATTTTTCTTTTAAACAAAACCTCAATAAACTATCCTCTCCCATTTCCAATTAATAGAGGTTCAAACAAGTTCAACGGATAAACTAGTCTTTTCTGGTCCTAACTACAATTTGTAGCAGGACATTATTTGAAATGAATCTGCCAGCTTCAATTGCGTCCATACTGTCAGCTTGGTAAGTGTGTATACTTGATGATAAGAAGAGAGAAAAAANGACATTGTTCGACTTGTTCTTACAATAAGTTCAGTGTTTATGGGACATTCCTGTGTGCAAACTGCCTGCCGCCTTTGTCTACAAAATACACAGTCGCTACACTTCACAGTAAAATCCCATGAAGTGCTTTGAGACATTGCTACACCTGATATTGCACTACATCAAATACAAAGATTATCATTATTCTCTATTACATTTTGCCCACAAAATATACAGTCAATTTCACTTTAGAGTATATTCTGTGAAGCGCCTTGAGACATCTTGACGATGTAATAAAGCTCTATATCGAATGTAAGGAATATTATTATTAATATGCGACATTAAAACAGGTGTGCATATGGACACAAAACAAGAAGAGAGAGGATTTTTTTAAAATGAAGTTCAGATTTCAATTCCTGTGACATTCATCCAGCTTCATTTCCATTATGCCATAACTATTGATGAAGAAACAATTTCAGATGCGAAAGCATTTTCAAACTCCACTTTCATTTTGTCAAAGAATGCAGTCGAGCTGTCCAAAAGTAGCATTTGGAAGAAGTCTGATTTGAATGATAGAAATGCATTAAATTAAAAAGACATTTGCACACTTCAGCGTGCGAGTGACTTTCTGTCATTCTGAAGCATTTTTTTATTGAATATCAAACATTATTAAATTGATGAGGTGTAAACAACACAGAATGTTTCACTCTGAATAAAAACGTGTTGAACAGGAGCCCATGGAAAAACGGTATACATATAGCACTTGCTTCACACATCTGTGATCTTAGCCATGAGGTTCATACTAAAAGGATCTGCAGTAACCTTTGCATTTGTAACTGGTAGCATTTTGATTGAATTCTGAAAAAACAGTGCTGGCATTACTGAGAGTAAGGAACCAAATTCTGCCCTTCATTTTCTTAACAGGAACTCCACGTCATATTTATTTCCGATTGTATACAGTATTTAGGAAACCAATGCAAATCTTTTTACTTTTTTGGCAACTGTATTATTTGGAGGACTAGATATATTTTGTCAATGAATTAATAAGTTTTAAAGACCAAATAGGTCCTTCAAAGGACAACTTAGGAAGAGACACTATAAAATAACAGGGGCTGACAGGCGTGTTAAATAGATTTTTCACATCAATGTTTACAAATGAAGAATGTGGTCAAATTTCAGATCCAGTCATTGGAATCAATGGGAAATGAATAACTGGATTGTAATTTAGCTTCGGGAAAAGGGCTGAGTATTAATTACATAATTAATAAATTGTTTTCGTTGGTACTTATTTAGATAATTAGAGGCACCTGTAATTCCCTCTTTGCACACGGCGTTTAATTATTCATAATACACTTGCATTTGCACATGGCTTGCAAACTGTGAACCATGATCAGCAAAGCTGATCAAATTCGAGGTTGCAGCTGAGGGCATGTCAGATTCTGGCCTATTTTTGCACTTTGACGTCTTTCAGGAATCGTAATTACACAGATTCTGGGATTTGGTAAATCAATGTCCAAACTCGCTTTTCAAATACCACAAATTAGATCTTAATTTTCTCCTCAACCTTTCCAGCATCAAGCCTATAACGCTAACCCTCATTTATGACTGGAAGCTTGCTAGCTTTCCTTTAAATTTACAGAAGAATTCAACAAAGCTTTCTTTCACATATCAATCTGTCCACATAACAGATTACAGTTCGGTTTCAAAATGTGCTGCTTCCTATTGCTTGCAATTATTGGGAGAGTTGGCCCCCTATTTTGCCGGCTAAATTCTTGTGTGATGCTATGATATACAGTATGCATTTCCCATAGTGCTTAACATTTCAATCCCTTTGATAGAAATCCTGGTCATTTTGTCAGGATTATTAATGGCAACTGCATGTTAAAATTGCCCAAATGCCTGCACGGCAAGCTGAGTTACTGATTTTACTCAACTACTACATCAAAGGAGTTTATTCATTTTGACTCCTGCACAGAGTGCACCTTCCCAGCCGCACATCACTTCAATGAGGTCTGGCAGTTCCTGCCCACCCCTGAGACAACTTAGCAGTGGGCTATTGTCAAAGGCAAGGCCCCTTCTACCCATGCTGCTGTATACACTGTGTCACTGGCTGCTCCCTGGCCCTGGTCCCACACAGAGGTGCATGCTTTTCTTACCCTGAGCGTCTTTCAGCTGCAAGGTAACAAAAGCTGCCACACTCAAAGTCCTTGATTTTTTTTTTCCCCAGGTCTGTCACAGTTAGTTATTAATGCCTCGTGAATAGGAAAGAAAATCAGTGGTCCTGCATCTCCCTTAAGGCTTGGCTTTATCTAACATTGCGTTTATTCCCATCTCACCTTCAAACTGACTAACAGACAGCATGAAGCATTTAACTGGAAATCAAAGCTTGCTTGTCAAGGGCAGGTTTTGCTTTAACAAGATGTCACAATGCATATCTTCATAAGAGCTTACCAAACTGGCTAAAGTTTGTTGTTTTCGCTCCTTGTAGAATTCCAGCTTGTTTTCCTCAAGACAAACCCAGGAACTTGTCCAGTTTTTCCTGTAAAAAAAGGGATACTCACAGTCTTTTGAATCACACAAAGGCGGAAAAAAAAATGCACTAGGGTATTAGCAGTGCAGAAGATTTATAATCATCAATACTGGCACAGTTCTTCATCAATTAATCCATTAATAATCACTCTCACAAGAGGTTTGTTATTATATTCATAACAAGATAATTATATTCTTGAATTTAATTTGCTTCCACTGCATTTTAAAACCATCGTCAGCGATATAAATGAGGTGATCAATCAGGACCATATTTGTCACGCTTAGAACACAAAATGAGCTGCTACGACTTTGCCACCGAAGCTCTCTTCTCCTTAAAAAATTAAGATTAGGGTTCGGACAAGGGATTAAATGCAAATAACAAAATAACGCCTTCATTTATTCCCCCACACTCTTTTAAGCTTGGGGGGGAAATACGCTAAAGCGCTTTGAGATGTCCTTCCAACCTGAAAGTGCTATATGATTGTATTTTAATACGTCAAACACAGGGAGCAATGCTAACATTTAGAAAATGAACTATTTTCTCGTTTGGGTCACCCAGTGTCAGCAGCGAGCACTCTCAATACAAGATGTAGAGAGTGCAGCCCATCAACAATCTCCCAAGACCCTTAACTCAGGTGATCAATTGTTACTGCACCAGAGTGACGTTTTCCATTCCCTACACTAGGAGTCCTGTGGACCCATCCTCTGAATAAGATTCCTAATTTAGTTTGGAGGGAGTTTCAATAGCCTTGAGGAGCCACATAGAATGATATGTACGGAAAAAGGCCATTCGACCCAACTAGTCTGTGCAATGCTGAGTTGTGATTGTCCAAGCTCAAGACTTTTGAATCAACGTGCTATTCATCTGGGCTCGATTAGAATCCAGGTCGCTGCTGTGAAAGCCCAGTGCTTTACCCATTGCACTACCTTTTCCCTCATTAATCTCCATTTAATCTTGAAGCGCCAAAGAGGAGTTCCTTTGTTTGTGTATTACTAGATCTCAGTGCCCGTCAACAAGCCAACCCATTTGTGGCCCCACGTTACCCCATTTAAACCATGAAAATCACGTCTGAACTTAACTTGACCAATCTATGGTGAAGCTCGTTCAATTTTCAATCTATCTCTTACGTTTTCATTGGAAAAACATTAAAAAACTGCTCCCAAACTTCCAAAAATAAAGCTGGAGGGAAGCAGAAAGCTTCTAAAGCTGGAAATAAAGATTATTGTAGGTAGAGACAAGTAAATGTAAAAAATAATATAACAAAGATGGAAAGGTAAAAAGGAAGAAGAGACAATAGAAAAGTGACAATCGGACAAGCAGAAATCTTTGAAATGTTTTGCTTTCAATCATATTTCTTTGAGATAATAAATCTGACATTTGACTATTTTTACTTGTTTTATTGCTGTAATATTACGTTTTTCTCAAAGTAATTACATTGAGAGGCTGGAATCCGTGGAGACATACTAACAATCTGAGGGGTAGTAGTAACTTGCATTTTTATAGTACCTTCTCAGCTCAGATGCCTCAAAACACCTCATAGTAATTACTGTCAAGTTGCAATGATTGTTCTTGCATGCAAGCCACAGCAGCCATTTCACCGAACCATGAGGTGAATGATAAATTTATGTGGAGAATCCCTCTTTTTTTNCAGACAACACCATGGGATCTTTTAACATCCACCTGAACAGATAGTCGGGACTTTTGGGTTTAATATCCCATTTGAGCAACAGCACCACTGACAGCGTAGCACTCTCTGATGATTGGAATGGACTGCCGATCTGGGGTGTGAGCAAGCTGGCTTTGTGATTTTCAAAGTACTCAGTCGGGCAAAATTTTACAGAACATATGTTCAGTTTCTCAAAAACCTTTGCTCATGTCACGCACTGCCACTGTGCTTTGGAATTTTTACTGCTTTTGAAATAAAACGTCAGCCTTCAGTTCAGCCTCGAGAGAGAAAGAGACCTCCACTATTATCTGATATACAGAAATAAATACACACGTAGATAACAGTGAGCTATTGTTGCAACATTGTTAGCTCTGTTGTACCAGCAATGCGTTTTATTATCACAGAATAGCTAGGATGTAACTTGGCAATTTAAATATTATAGTTCTGGCTCTCTGTACAATGATAATAATCCTCGCATTTGATATAGCGCCTTTCAGGTCAGGAGGATGTCTCAAAACGCTTCACAGGATTTGTGATCTGTTGAATATAGTGACTGAATATTGAAGGTTACCCAGCAGCCAATTTGTGCACAACAATGTCCTACAAATGGCCACAAAATGAATGAACATTTCTTTCTGTGGATGGAGAGGGTGGGGGGAGCAGTTCAAATTATATATATTGAGAGCCTGGTGTTTGTGAATTGGGTAGATAGTTGTCAAAGAATGCAATTGATGGTTCAAATTGCATAAGATTGTATATTTTATATTTTATTAAGCAACTTTTATTTACTGCGGACAGTTTGAATACAACGTTTTAGTCAAATGTGACCAGAACTGCCAATAAACGAGACAGTGGCTGGAATTCACAGGTCAGCTCCTAACTATGATTAGTTTGCAATATAAAAACATTTGATGCTTTTTATTTTAAAAAAGCAAATAATCAAATTCCACATCTTTAATTAATGTTCCCTAGCTTTGAATATGATGCATATTTAAATAGTTGTCTGAAAAAGTAATAAAGGCAAAAATAATTTGGAGGAAACATTTCTTGTAAGTCTTCTACATTTACATTTACATTTATTAAATTATTTACTAAATTAATTTTGATGCAAATCACTTATTCCCTTTTAACACACACGCACAGAATACATATTCATACTTCCAGTGAATATCTGGATCTCAGTTACCTGCAATTGTACAGATGGTGAATGTGGAAACATTCCAATAACAGCACAGATAGGGGTTTCCAGCAAGTTTTTCGAAAATATTGCAATTTTAATAATAGTATGATAATAATCCATGCATTTGGTATAGCGCCTTATCAAGTCACAGACATCTCAAAGTGATTCACAGAATATATTGTGGGCGAAACTCGGGGATAACCCCTCAGGAAAATCAGGAGCTGCACATCATTTTAATTTCTCGTCTGAAGGACAGCACCTCCAACAATGAGTTCCCTCAGGAGCACACTGGAGTGTCAGGCCAGACTGCGAGCTTAACACGGGGCTTAAACCCACAACTTTCTAGTTTAGAGGAGCGAGTGCTAGCTGAGCCAGGATAATATATGGGTAAGTATTCATATTGAAAGCACCTTCATCTGGTTAGGCCTCAGCTGGAGTACTGCGTTCAGTTCTGGGCACCTTACTTCAGGAAGGACATTAAGGCACTGGAAAGAGTGCAGAGGGGATTCACGAGAATGATACCAGGAATGGGGAACCTTAGCTATGAGGACAGGCTGGAGAAGTTAGGACTTTTCCCATTAGAGCAGAGGAGGTTACGCGGGGACCTGATAGAGGTCTTCAAGATCATGAAAGGTTTCGACAGGCGAGATAGGGAAAAGCTGTTTCTGCTGGTAGGTGTGTCTGTGACCCGTGATCACAGTCTTAAGATATCTACCAAAAGAAGCAGAGGGGAGGTTAGAAGAAATGTTTTCACTCAGGGAGTTGTTCGAATTTGGAATGATCTGCCTGATTCGATAACAGCTCTTAAGGGAGAACTGGATAGGTATCTGGGGAAGACGGGTTTGCAGGGTTATGGGGAGAAAGCTGGTGATTGGGGTTAGTGAAAGTGACTTGCTCTGTCAAAGAGCCGGCACAGACTCGATGGGCTAAATGGCCTCCTTCTGTGCCGTAACATTCTATCAATCTATGAATCTGCACTGGCCATCACTTTAACCTTAACCAATTCCTTTTCAAACACATTCACTATCAACTATAATTCCGTGTTGCAAGTTATACAGTATGTACCACTGAAGTGTTTCATGCAATTATTATTATTCTACAAGTGAGGTTTACTGCATAATTCATGTACAACTTCATCATTCAGGAGGTTTCACGGTCTGCCTTGCAATCAGCATAAAAATCATAGCAAATGTTGCAGTGCTCTCTTTCTGCCATAACTCTGGTTTGTTCCTTGAGTTTATTCTTTGGATTGTTTTGATTCCAGGTCAGAGGCAAAGGGAAGGTTCCTGTGATTCTCAAAGTGGGCAGCTGGGAAACAATAGACAGGACGTACAAAGTACAAAAGTATCATCAGATTGAACTTATCACCTTTCAGGAAGAATAAACATACTGTATACCATTTTGAGAAATGTAAAGACACATGTAATATGTGCTTTCTGCCACAAAGCAAACAAATATTCAAGTCGGTCAGTAGTTGGAATGTAAATAGAAATAAAATCATATACAATAAAATGAAGGTACAGTCAAAACAACTGATGTGAAATCTTTCCAAAGGTGTTGAAAATCAATACCAAATGTGGAACTATTTATGCATAATGTCCACTTATCACATCTTCTTGCACATATATTCCAATTTATTTCCATTTCCCCATTAATATCTAGGAAACTGACATAAATTACATGATACATCGCCCACAAAACATACAATCAATTCACTTTACAGTGTATTCTGTGAAGAGCTTGAGACATCTATAAGATGTGATAAGGCACTATATCAAATGCAAGGATTATTATTATTATTATTATAAATGCATTATATGGGATCCTTTGTCACCAGTTTAAAACAACACATCCCCCATAATCACATATACAACCCAACTGATCCCTTTCATGCCTTGCCTAGGTATGAGGTGTCTAGACAATAGCTCTGCGAACATATTAAAATGCCGATAAGTCTTATTTTCTAAATGAATGTCATAATACCCAGTGTACAAACACTGCTGCGATCATTTCTTGCAACTTTATTTGAATTCCTCGCAGTGCAACTGACTGTCACATTTTGATCACATCCCATTTTATGGCTGAAAAATTGAGCTGAGTCCCTGCTATACCCGAGTTGTGTTCTACAAGATCAGCGAGTAACACGCTGAGGTGTCAGAGAGA